AACCATTTTCAAAAGAAGTTTTGTTAGAAGAAGAAGGAAAAAAAAACTTTAAAAGCTACATGTTTTGCAAATATTGGAAATAATAATATCAATATACAAGATAACTGTATTTGAAAAGGAAAGGAAAATAAAGAATAACTTTTCTAGGGGAGATCCAAGATTGCCAAATAGGAACAGCTCTGAAGTGAAGTTCTCAGAGAGAACAATGCAGAGGGTGAGTGAGCACCACATTCCCAAATGAGTTTTTACTGCCCAGAGACCAGGAGATTGCTGGGCTGAAAGGTACCACAAATTTCCAACATGGCTGTTGCAGCTGGCGCCACAGGTTTCCACACAAAAACTCACACAAATCTCGGCAGCTATTTCAACTGGTGCCTGGAATGCCAGGGAGACAGAGTCGCTCATTCAAATGAAAAAGAGGGGGATGAAACAGAGCCAGGTGATCTGGCTCAGTGGGTCCCACCCCCATAAAGTTCAACTACCTGGAACACTCTGGATCAACAGTTTCACAAAAGTGCAGCTGGACCTGGGGCTGTTCAGCTCTTGGAGGGAAGGGCCTCCACCATTACTGAGGCAGTTCACCACTACTGAGGCAGTCCACCATTACTGAGGGAGTCCGCCACTAGGGAGGCAGTTCTAACTGTACCTCTGTAAACAAAACCACAAAGAAATTTATGCAGCAGCTGGGCAAAGCCCATGGGCAGCTCAGCAATGCTTCTGCTGGCAGACTGTGACTAGACTACCTCCTTGCTGGGCAAGGCATCTGTAAAAAGGCAGCAGCACATTGGGAACTTAAAAATAAAGCCCCAATTTCCCAAGACAGAGCACCTTGGAAAAGAGGCAGTTACGAGTTCTTCTACTGCAGATTTAAACGTACCTGCCCAGCAGCTCTCAACAGAACAGCAGAGCTCCCAGTACAGCACTTGAGCTCCTATAAGGTACACACTGTCTCCTCAAGCAGGTCCTAACCCCTGTATATCTAAAGAGATGCCTCATAAAGGAGAGCTCAGGCTGACATCTGGTGGGTAGTCTTCTGGGATAAAATAACAGAAGAAGAAACTGACAGCAACCCTTACTATTCTGCAGCCCCTATGGGTGATCCCCAGGTAAGCAGGGTCTGCAGTAGACCTCCAGCAGTCCTGCAGCAGAGGGGCCTGACTGTTAGAAGGAAAACTAAAAAATAGAAGAAATAGCTTCAACATCAACAAAAATGATGTCCACTCAGAGGTCCCATCCAAAAGTCATCAACTACAAAGGACAACAGGTAGATAAATCCATGAAGATGGGAAGAAACCAGTGCAAAAAGGATGAAAGCACCAAAAACTAGAACGCCTGTCCTCCTCAGAGAAATCACAACTCCTCACCAGCAAGAGAACAAAGCTGGATGGTGAATGAGTCTGATGAATTGACAGAAACAGGCTTCAGAAGGTGGGTAATAACAAACTACTATGAGATAAAAGAGCATGTTCTAACCAAATGCAAAGAAACTGAGAACATTGAAAAAAGGTTAGATGAAATGCTAACGAGAATAAACAGCTTAGAGAAGAATATAAACAACTTGATGGAGCTGAAAAACACCACACTAGAACTTTGCAAGGCATACACAAGTTTCAATAGCCAAATCGACCAGGCAGAAGAAAGGATATGAGAGATTGAAGTTCAACTCAATGAAATAAAATAAGAAGGCAAGATTAGAGAAAAAAGAGTGAAAAGAAATGAACAAGGACTCCAAGAAATATGGGATCATGTGTAAAGACCTAATCTACATTTGATAGATGTACCTGAAAGTGACAGAGAGAATGACTCCAAGCTGGAAAACACTATTCAGGATATTATCCAGGAGAATTTCCCCAACATAGTAAGGCTGGCCAACATTCAAGTCCAGGAAATAGAGACCACCACAAAGATATTCCTCAAGAGGAGAAACCCCAAGGCACACAATCGTCAGATTCACCAGGGTTGGAATGAAGGAAAAATGCTAAGGGCAGCCAGAGGGAAAGGTCAGGTTACCCACAAAGGGAAGTCCGTCAGACTCACAGTGGATCTCTCGGCAGAAATCCTACAAGCCAGAAGAGAGTGGGGGCCAATATTTAATATCTTATAGAAAATAACTTTCAACCAAGAATTTCATATCCAGCCAAACTCTGCTTCATAAGTGAAGGAGAAATAAAATCCTTTACAAACAAGCAATTTCTGAGAGATTTTGTCACCACCAGGCCTGCCTTACAAGAGCTCCTGAAAGAAACACTAAACGTGGAAAGTAACAACCCGAACCAGGCACTCCAAAAACATACCAAATGGTAAAGAACATTGACACAATGAAGAAACTGCATCAACTAATGGGAAAAACAACCAGCTAGCATCAAAATTGGAGGATAAAATTCACATAAAACAATATTAATGTTAAATGTAAATGGGCTAAATGCCCCAATCAAAAGACATGGACAGGCAAATTGAATAAAAAGTCAAGATCCATCAGTGTGCTCTATGCAGGAAACCCATCTAACATTCCAGGACAGACATAGGCTCAAAATAAAGGGATGGAGGAAGATTTACCAAGCAAATGGAGAGAAAAAAAAAATAGCAGGAGTACAGGCATAGTCTCTGTTAAAATAGAATTTAAACCAAAAAGGATCAAAAGGGACAAAGAAGGGCAATTACATAATAGTTAAAAAAAAATCAATTCAACAAGAAGTGCTAACTATAGTAAATATATATGCACCCAATACAGGAGCACCCAGCTATATAAAGCAACTTCTTAATGACCTACAAAGAGACTTAGACTCCCACACAATAATGGTGGGAGACTTTAACACTCCACTCTCAATATTAGACAGATCGACAAGACAGAAAATCAACAAAAATTTCCAGGAGTTGAACTCAAATCTGGACCAAATGGACCTAGTAGACATCTACAGAACTCTCCACCCCAAATCCATAGATTATACACTCTTCTCAGCAACACATCACATCTACTCTAAAATTGACCATGTAATTGGAAGTAAATCACTCCTCAGCAAATGCAGAAGAATGGAAATCATGGCAAACAGTCTCTCAGACCACAGTGCAATCAAATTAGAACTAAAATCAAGAAACTAACTCAGAACTGCACAATTTCATTGCAACTGAACAACTGGCCCCTGAATGTCGGCTGGATAAACAATGAAATGAAAGCAAAAATAAAGGTATTCTTCAAAATCAACAAGAAGAAAGACACGATGTACCAGAATCCATGGGACACATTTAAAGCAGTGTCTAGAGGGAAATTTATAGTAATAAATGCCCACATGAGAAGCAAGTAAAGATCTAAAATTGATACCCTATCATCAAAATTGAAATTTTTAGAGGTGCAAGATCAAAACAACTCAAAAGCAAGCAGAAGACAAGAAAAAACTAACATCAGATCAGAACTCAAGGAGAAAGAGATACAAAACACCGTTCAGAAAAATCAATAAATCCAGGAGCTGGTTTTTTGAAAAGATAAACAAAATAGACAGACCACTAGCCAGATTAATGAAAAAGAAAAGAAAGAAGAATAAAATAGATGCAATAAAAATTGAAAAAGGAGTTATCACGCTGATTCAACAGAAATACAAACTACCATCAGAGATTATTACAAACAACTCTGTGGACATAAACCAGTAAACCCAGAAGAAATGGATAAATTCCTGGATACTTGCACCCTCCCAAGCCTAAACCAGGAAGAATTTGAAACCCTGAATAGAACAATAACAAGGGCTGAAGTTGAGGCAGGAATTAATAGCCTACCAGTCAAAAAAAGCCCACGTCCAGATAGGTTGACAGCTAAATTCTACCAGACATACAGGAGGAGCTGGTAGCAGTCCTTCTAAAACTATTCCAAACAACAAAAAAAGAGGAAATCCTTCCCAAATCATTTTATGAGACCAACATCATCCTGATGCAAGCCTGGTTCAACATACACAAGTGTAAGAACATAAATCATCATATTAACAGAACCAAAGACAAAAACCACATGATTATCTCAATAGATGCAGAGAAGGCCTCTGATAAAATTCAACAGCCCTTTATGCTAAAAACTCTCAATAAACTAGGTATCAATGGAACATATCTCAAGATAATAAAATCTATTTATGACAAAACCACAGCCAATATCATACTGAATGGGCAAAAACTGGAAGCATTCCCTTTGAAATCTGGAACTAGACAAGGATGCCCTCTCTCACCACTCCTATGCAGTATAGTACAGGAAGTTCTAGCCAGAGCAATCAGGAAAGAAAAAGAAAAAAAGGTATTCAATTACAAAAGAAGGAAGTCAAATTGTCTCTATTTGCAGATGGCATGATTGTATATTTAGAAGATACCATCATCTCAGCCCAAACTCTCCTGAAGCTGATAAGCAACCTCAGCAAAGTCTCAGGATACAAAATCAATGTGCAGAAATCACAAGCATTCCTATACACCAATAACAGACTAACAGAGAGCCAAATCAAGAGTGAACTCAACCCCCCTCTACCTCTTCTCAAAAGCTATCTAAATGAGAACAGATTTTACCACCCACCTTGTGGGTAGACTCAGCTGAGGCTGGAATTAGCTATTTATCCTTCATCTGCTGTGGGAATTCAACACATACAAATAAACCTCCTTTTCCAGCCAAAAAAAAAAAAAAAAAAAAAGAGTGAACTCCCATTCACAATTGATACAAGGAGAACAAAATACCTAGGAATACAATTAACAAAGGATGTAAAGCACCTCTTCAAGGAGAACTACAAACCACTGCTCAAGGAAAAGAAAGAGGACACAAACAGATGGAAAAGCATTCCATGCTCATGGTTAGGAAGAATCAATATTGTGGAAATGGCCATACTGCTCAAACTAATTTATAGATTCAACACTATCCCCATCAAGCTACCTATGGCCCTCTTCACAGAACTGGAAAAAAAAAAAAAAAAAACAACACCTTAAACTTCATATGAAACCAAAAGACAGCCCACATAGACAAGATAATCCTAAGCAAAAAGAACAAAGTTGGAGGCATCATGCTACCTGACTTCAAAGTATACTACAAGGCTACAGTAATCAGAACAGCATGGTACTGGTACCAATAAAGAGATATAGACCAATGGAAGAGAACAGAGGCCTCAGAGGTAAAGCTAAACATCTGCAACCATCTGATCTTTGACATATCAGACAAAAACAAGCAATGGAGAAAGAATTCCCTGTTTAATAAATGGTGCTGGGAAAACTGGCTAGCCATGTGCAGAAAACAGAAACTGGACCCTTCCTGACACCTTACACTTAAATTAACTCCAGATGAATTAAAGACTTAAACATAAAACCTAAACAGAAAACAGAACCTGGACCCCTTCCTGACACCTTATACTAAAATTAACTCCAGATAGCTTAAAGACTTAACATAAGACCTAACACCAAAAAACCCTAGAAGAAAACCTAGGCAAAACCATTCAGGCCATAGGCATAGGCAAGGATTTTATGACTAAAACACTAAAAGCATTGGCAACAAAAGCCAAAACAGACAAATGGGATCTAATTAAACTCAAAAGCTTCTGTACAGCAAAAGAAACAGTCATTAGAGTGAACCAGCAACCAACAGAATGGGAAAAAAATTTTGCAATCTACCCATCTGACAAAGGGATAATATCCAGGATCTACAAAGATCTAAAACAGATTTACAAGAAAACAAACAAACAAACAAACAAACCCATTCAAAAGTTGGTGAAGGGTATGAGCAGACACATTTCAAAAGAAGACATATATGAGTCCAACAAACATATGAAAAAATGCTCATCATCACTGGTCATTAGAGAAATGCAAATCAAAACCACATTGAGATTACCATCTCACGTCAGTTAGAATGGTGATGATTAAAAAATCTGGAGACAACAGATGCTAGAGAGGATATGGAGAAATAGCAACACTTTTACACTGTTGGTGGGAGTGTAAATTATTTCAACCATTGTGGCAGATGGTGTGGCGATTCCTCAAGGACCTGTAAAAAGAAATTCGATTTGATCCAGCAATCTTATTACTGGGTATATATCCAAAGGATTATAAGTGGTTGTATTATAAAGACATATGAATATGTATGCTCATTGCACAATGTTTACAATATCAAACACCTGTAACCAACACAAATGCCCATCAATGATAGACTGGACAGGGAATGTGGCACATATACACCATGGAATACTATGCAGCCATGATAAACAATGCGTTCATGTCTTTTGTAGGTACGTGGATGAACCTGGAAACCATCATTCTCAGCAAACTGACCTAAGAACAGAAAATCAAATACTGCATATTCTCACTCATAGTTGGATGTTGAACAATGGGAAAACATGGATACAGGGAGGGGAGCATCACATCCTGGGTTTTGTTGGGATTGGTAGGGGAGGGACAGCATGGGATGGGGAAGTTGGGGACAGATAACATGGGGAGAAACGTCAGATATATATGAAGGGGGGATGGAGGCAGCAAAACACATTATCATGTGTGTATCTATGCAATAACCCTGCACAATCTGAACATGTACTCCAGAACCTAAAGTACCCCCCCAAAAAAAACAAAACAACAACAACAAAAAACAAACTTTGCAAATATGAATTGAATGGTATGGTTTGTCTGTGTCTCCATTCAAATCTAATCTTGAATTGCAACTCCCATATTTCCAATGTGTTGTGGGAGGAAACCAGTGGAGGTGATTGAATTATAGAGGTGGGTCTTTTCCACATTGTATTCGAGATAGTGAATGAGTCTTAGGAGATCTAATGGTCTTAAAAAAGGGAGCTTCCCTGCACAATCTCTCCTTTCTTTGCCTGCCACCACCAACATAATATGTGACTTTTTCCTTCTTGCCTTCTGTCATGATTGTGAGGCTTCCCCAGCAACATGCAACTGTGAGTTCAGTTAAACCTCTTTCTTTTGTAAATTACCCAATCTCTAGTATGTTTTATTAGCAGTGTGATAGGATACTAATACAGTAAATTGGTACCAGTAGAGTGAGGTGTTGCTGAAAAGATAACTGAAAATGTGCAAGCAATTTTGGAACTGGGTAACAGACATACATTGGAACAATTTGGAGGACTCGAAGAAGACAAGAAAATGTGGGAAAGTTTGGAACTTCCTAGAGACTTGTTGCATGGTTTTGACAAAAATGCTGATATTGATACGAATAATAAAATCCATACTGAGGTGGTCTCAGATAAAAACAAAGAACTTTTTGGGAACTAAAGCAAAGGTGCCCCTTGTTATGTTTTAGCAAAGAGACTGGTTGCATTTTGCTTCTGCCCTAGAGATTTGTGAAACTTTGAAATTGAGAGAGATGATTTAGAATATTTGGCAGAAGAAATTTCTAAGTAATAAAGCATTCAAGAGGTGACTTCGGTGCTGTTAAAGGCATTCAGTTTTATAAGAAAAACAGAGCATAATAGCTCAGAAAATTGGTAGCATGACAATGCAATAAAAAAGAACAACCCATTTTCCGAGGAGAAATTCAAGCCTGCTGCAGAAATCTGCATAAGTAATAAGGAGCCAAATGTTAATTCTCAAGACAATGGGGAAAATGTCTGTAGGGCATGTCAGAGGTCTGCCACAGACACTTAATGCCAGCTGGTGAAAGTAGCTGATTCACAGGAGCAGAACTGCTTGAGGCCATGAGATCATACCTCTTGTATCATCATGAGCTCTTCTCACAGCTCCACTAGGTAGTGCCCCAGTAGGGACTCTGTGTGGGGTTTCAATCCCATATTTCTCTTCTGCACTTCCCTAGCAGAGGTTTTCCATGAAAGCCCTACCCCCTGCAACAAACTTCTGCCTGGACAACCAGCTGTTTCCATACATCCCCTGAAATCTAAGTAGGGTTTCCCAAACCTCAGAGGCTTAACACCACATGTAAGCTGCCAAGATTTGGGGCTTGTGCCCTCTAAAACCACACCTGAGCTGTATATTGTCACTTTTCAGTCATGGTTGGAGCATCTGCGACACAGGGCACCAAGTCCCTAGACTTCACATAGCAAGGGGACCCTGGGAACACCCCAAGAAACCACTTTTCCTTCCTAGACCTCTGGGCCTGTGATGGGAGGGCTGCTGAAAAGGTCTCTGACATGCCCTGGAAATATTTTCCCATTTTCCCCATTGTCCTAGTAATTGACATTTGTATTGTCATTATTTATACAAATTTTCCATCTGGCTTGACTTAAATTTTTTTCCCAAAATGTGGTTTTCTTTTCTATCTCACTCTAGGGCTGCAAATATTTCAAACTTTAATGCTCTGTTTCCTCTTGAATGCTTTGCCACTTAGAAATTTCTTACACCAAATACCCTAAATCATCTCTCTCAAGTTCATAATTCAACAGACCTCTAGGACATGGACAAGATGCCACTAGTCTCTTTGCTAAAGCATAGCAAGTCACCTTTCTTTCAGTTCCCAACAAGTTCAACATTTTCATCACAGATAACTTTAGCCTGGACTTTATGGTCATATTACTATCAGCTTTTTTGTCAAAGTCATTCAACAAGCCTCTAGGTTTTTCTAAACTTTCCCACATCTTCCTGTGTTCTGAGCCTTCCACATCTCTAAGAAGTTCCAAACTTTCGCACATTTTTCTGTCCTTTTATGAGCCCTCCAAACCGTTCCAGCCTCCACATTTTACCTAGTTCCATAGTCTCTTTCACATTTTTGGGTATCTATACAGCAGCATCCCATTCTACTGGTACCAATTTACTGTATTTTTCTGTTTTCATGCTGCTAATAAAGACATATGTGAGACTGTGTAATTTATGAAGAAAAAGAGGTTTAATAACCTCACAGTTCTACATGGCTGGAGAGGCCTTACAATCTAGGTGGAAGAAGAAGGAGCAAAGTCTTGTCTTACATGGCAGCAGGCAAGAGTGCATGTGCAGGGGAACTTCCCTTATACAACCATCATATTTCATGAGATTTATTAACTACCATGAGAGTAGCATGGGGAAAAAGCCACCCCCAAGATTCATTTATCTCAAACAGAGTTCCTACCATGACATATGGGAATTATGATTCAAGATGAGATTTGGGTGGGGACATAGCCAAACCCTATCAGTGCACCAACAAAATAAAGCCCAAGACCAGTCAGCTTCATAGCTGAATTATACCAGATGTATAAAGAAGAGCTGGTACCATTTCTATTGAAACTATTCCAAAAAATTGAAGAGGAATAATTTTTTCCCTAACTCATTCTATGAAGTCAACATCACACTGATGCCAAAAAATAGCAGAGATACAACAACAAAAAAATAAACTTCAAGCTAATACCTTTGACGAATATCAATTCAAAAATCCTCAACAAAATACTGGCAACCCAAATCCAGCAGCACATCAAAAAGCATAGACACCACAATCAAGTGGGCTTCAAAGGTAATCATAAGCAAAAAGGAACAAGTGAGAGGCATTATACTACTGAACTTCAAACTATACTATTGAGCTACAGTAACCAAATCAACATAGCACTGGTACAATAACAAACACATAGACCAATGGAACAGAAAAGAGAACCCAGAAATAAGGTCACACATGTACAACTATTTGATCTTCAACAAACTTGAATAATTAACAATAAAAATTGACATTATATAATGACAGAATCAAAACTCTTACACTATTAGTCCTTTCAAAGAGAACAAGAATGAAATAAACAAATAAAACTAAAAAATATATTTAAAAAGGCCCATGAACTAAAGAAATTAAAACAACAAACCAAGAAAACAAACGGTATCTATAGCAAATACAAAGAACATTTTTAAAAACTAATTAATTAAAAAGCATCTTATTCAATCATTTTTCTTCCAAAATTTTATGGTAAAGATGTTGGCCTATGTATAAATGTACATATTACTTGTAAAAAGAATCCCCCCACTAGTTGGGTGTGGTGGTTTATGCCTGTAATCCCAGCACTTTGGGATCTTTGGGATGCCGAGGTGGGTGGATCACAAAGTCAGGAATTCAAGACTAGCCTGGCCAACATGGTGAAACCCCGTCTCTACTAAAGACACAAAAAATTACCTGGGCATAGTGGTGTGCACCTGTAATTCTAGCTACTCAGGAGGCTGAGGCAGGGGAATCATTTGAACCAGGGAGAAGGATGTTGCAGTGAGCCGAGATGGTGCCATTGCACTCCAGCCTGTAACAGGGCGAGACTCTGTCTAAAATAAAAAATAAAAATAAAAAATAAGCTCGCCCCTTAAAACCAATACAAAATACCCAGGAAAACAAAACATAGGAAAAATATAAAATTTTTAACAGAAGAATGATTAAACAAATTATAGTGTTTATGAACTCTGGATGAAAGTCTAGCCTGAGGATATCAAAAACTATTTTACAGTGTTTTTTATGACTGAAACATTGTGCTAATTTCTTTGTACAGTAGGTAAGATTTTCCCCCTATTTTGAACATGTCAATAACGAAATTTAAATAGATAAATTTCCTCAACTATTTCATTGGTTTCAAAACTATGCTATAATCTACTCTACTATTTTTTGCTACATTATTACAGGGAAATATACCTGGGAGATAACATTATAAAACATTTGTTGTGGTTATGTGTAGCTGTTAGGATGGTAGATGATTTGTAATTTTGGCTTTATTATATTTTTAAATTGAAAACAAAATGTATTAAAGGAGTAACATCCTTATTTCTTACCATGCTTTGCACTTCTTGAGAATAGGATCTTTTGTATTACAACTTTTGTATTACTCAGAAAGAGCTGAAACATGAATTACATTCATATGTTTTGATAAATATTTACTGAATAATATAACACTGATAAGATATCTTTATGACAACACTGGAAAAACCAACTATATATCTATGCAAACAAAAACAGCTGATAATTATGTAGCTAGAGACCTGGACTGATTTTTATAACTGAATGACTTGTAATGATTCCTCACTGAAAATGAAGGTGAAAATGAAATACATTAATAAAAAAATATTTACAACATCATTATTAACTTAATATAATTAAACAGGTTATTTTCAAAATATAAATATAATCAATGTTTTCATTTATAAATTAGGTAGATGTCATATTGAGGGGCTGTGTTCTCTTTCCAGGTCCACAAGGGGGCATAGTTTTAAGGGCAAAAGTTTCCCAGCACCATGCCCCCCACCCATCTCTTTCCATCTGGGAGATTTAATGGTTTATGTTTAAATTTCATGGGCACAGGAAGAAACAAAAAGTCAATCACTCCAGGGGAAGTTCTAAGGAACTCCTTTCATTGGCCTGGGGTCTTAGAAAGGGTGGGGGTTCCTCCTAGGTTAAAAGTCCCCTTCTTCCACACCCCTTTGGACTCCCTGTTTGGATCCCCTTCCATGAACTCTCTCATGGAAGCCATTTTTCTCTATCCTGGATTTCCTCTCTGGAATCCCCTTCCACACTGTCTTGTGGAAGCCTGTCTTCCCCTCCTAAACTCCGTCTTTCTCCATACCCTTCTACTCAGTGTGGAAGATGCTTTCCTCTCCTGGATTCCTTCTTTCTGGATTCTCTTACTCGGTGTGAGAGGAACTTTCCTTCTCTGGTTTTCCCCCTCTGGGAACCCTTCTCAGGGTCAGAGTGGCTTTTTTTCTCTCACACAGTGTGAGAGTTAGCCATTTCTCTCTCCTCCTTTTTCTCTCTCTAAAGAAATCACTTTCTACAAACACTTTTGAGTCCGGCATTTACTGTCCAATGCGCCATGGTCCCCTCTCTCATCCTTGAGAGGGCGGAGACCAGGAACCTGGAGAAACATCTTCTCAGGGGAGCTGAGGGCACCCTGAACCCCTGAACCCCAATATTACCATAAAACAACAGTTCAAGAAGTATTCGTTAGGTTTATATTATGTATTAGGCCCAATGCTTTAACCAGAAGATGAAATGACGAGCAAGTAGTTGTTTTAGTCCACGGGTAGAACTGGGGTCTCAGTCAGCAACCCACATCAATCACCAGATGTGGGTATGGACACCTCAAAATGTTTCTACCCTACCATAGAGTGTTCCCACAGGAGACAATGCAGCACAGAAAGTTGTCATTGTGGTTTGTTGCACTCAAATTTCTGACCTACAGAAACTCTAAGTATAATAAAAGGGTTGTGCTATGCCACTAATTTTTGGGTAATTCATTATGAAGCATTGTAACAGGAATTACATAATACTGAAAATTTAACTTTCCAGATCATTAAAAGCAATATATGCTTGTACATGTGTGCGCACACACACACACACACACACACACAGACACACACAGAAATAAAAATAATATCTTTCAAAAAATAGAAATAATAATATATATATATATATATATATATATCAAAAATCTCAGCTACAGTACAGTTCACTGCTATATGTAAAGTATGCCTCAATTAAAAAAAAATAAAAATGGATGATAGAATTAAGAATATGTACTTTAAATAAACCAAACTACTGATTAGTTAAGGGATTATATCTATACAATTTAATATTTTAATATTTAATATTCAAGTAATTAAAATAAAACTTTTTACACAGTTATGAATAATTTCCAAAAATCACTTAAAATGCAAAATAGAGAGACTTGTGGTCTAGCATTTGTTTTAAAGTAAAAGAAAACAACCAAAACTAAGAATTACGTGTATATACCAAGTATATTTTTGAAAATATAGATAAGTGACAACAAATAAATAAGGTAAAGCAAATGAAAGGAAAATTTATTTCGCAATGTATGCCATTTGGTACCTTGGTGCTGAGATTATGTGTATATATTTCTTTACAAAGAAAATATAAGTTATTTTTAAAAATTCAGGCTTACATCAAGGGGGTTGTTTAGTAAATTTTATAGAAGGAAATTAATGTGACAACAAAGAAGGGGACTATCTACTTAGCAAACAGTGAGTAAAATATCAACCAGAAGTGAAATGCAATATGAAACCCATGCCATTCAACTTGGCTGGTGTCTTTCAATACATTCTTATTTAAGTATACTTTCCATGAGAAAGCATACACTGGTTGCTGTATCAAAGGAGAAGGCTGAAATTTTTACTCAAAATTACCTCCGAATTTGTTTCATTAGTGTCTTCAATCATTGAAGATGAAAATCTTCAACCTTTCAAGAAACATTCATCTTACAAACAATTCATTTAATGAATGAATGTTTAACTAATGAAAGTTTCACAGATTATATATATATATATATACACACACACACACATACATACACATATATATATATGTGCTAGGACTCTCCACTACTAATACAGGTGTTTCTAAGTAACTAAGGTTATACTTTATCATATGTTATTAACACATAATTATAATATAAAATATATCCTAATTTATAAAAAACAAATTTTCAGGAATTTATGAATATAAGCAAACAGTATTAATATAAATATAATAATATAATGGGTTGATTTTGCTTATGTACACATTCTAAGGATTCTTGACAGTTTAGATTATGAACTTTCTTTTTCATGCATTAGCTCTGAGACTCACCATTTTTGGTTATATAATATTGGATATAATCTATACTTCTTTCTGCCGGTAACATACTAATCATTACAGATTTATGATGTGAATTGTCTTGCAGTTCAATTAATACCTCTAGAAAGACATTTTAAAAACATCAATAATAAGATGTTATGTAAGACATTAGGCTCCGGCATATCATTAAATTTTTTGAATGGTAGACCAAAAAAACCAAGATATCTGAAAACTCTGAATGGATACAAATTTTGTATTTTTTATATTTACTTTGGGATTTAATGAAACTTAAGTTGCCTCTTTTCCTTTATGTAGATTGCTTTTTTCATTTATTATATTTAGCTAAAGCCAAACAGCTAATATATGTATTATAAAAAGATAATAATTTACTCCAGTAAAATAACGAAACCTTTCTCACAAAAATATGATTCTTTCTACTGCTCAGTAAAAAAGTAATCCGTTTTCTGCAGATGTTTTATTTTAAAAGAAAGTTATTTTGAGCTAATTGATATTTCTTGCAAATTTTTCAACTATACTAATAAAATAAATATGCACTACTATGAAGAAAATAATGTTAATAATTAACAGTGATTAAATTATAAAGCCACGTTTTTACACAATATATACTAATAGTTTCATCTACATAGTCATCTTATCTGTAACTGATTAATTCAAACCAATCTTACTTATGAAACCTAATATTGTCTCTCTCTTCTATATCAAAAGTGATCACTACATTTGTTTCCTTTCTTTCATTCACATACTCAAAAATGTGAAACTTTTTTCTTCTTATTCTGAAAGAGTGCTATTTCATCCAACAAACTTATCATCCATCTTTTTTTCCCAACTATATAAAGTTTTTCTCAAAGCTGATGCTATAATGACCATACTTACATAACAACTGCTATAATTTTCTGCTACAATATCTTATTATAATGGTCTTTTACATTTCTGACTCCTGCCTATATTAGGCTCTTCAAGAGTACATATTATTTATTTATTTTTCTTGACACATTACACTTTTAGATCTCTTTTGTAAACTCTTAGATAACAGAAACAAAATTAATAATAACTTCAAGATATTATACC